GATGGAGGAGGACCCAAGGCATGTTCAAGGTAAGACTTGATGCATTTTTCCTTAGTTTCTTGTTTAAATACGAGTGTAGGAACCAGTATAATGGTGACCGCCCCCATGATATGGCCAGCGACACAATAATGTGACTGATAAGATCAATAAAGTAGCCCTGGTCTCCCGACCAGGGTCAGTCTGGAGCGTGTATCCGTCGTGTGAACATCTCCCGCAATAACCCCTTCCTCGACCACGTGGCAGCGGTGCACGTGTGTTATATTATCCCACCGCTGCCACCAATTGTAACGTGGTCGAGGAAGGGGTTATTGAGGGAGATGTTCACACGACGTATACACGCTCCAGACTGACCCTGGTCGGGAGACCAGGGCTACTTTATTGATCTTATCAGTCACATTATTCATACCAGATGTGTCGCTGGCCATATGGTGGGCGGTCACCGTTATACTGGTTCCTACACAAACATTATAGGGTGTCGCAGTTGCGCATTGTTCGTTTTCTTTAATTGTTTTACAGGATAATCAATTATTACCGTGTTTTTGTTGCGTACTCAGTACGATAAAGACGTGCCCACTGACGTGAGGCTGGTGGACTGGCAGACTCCTAGGTACCTACCAACAACCCATGACCTGACTTTCCTGTTTCTTTGTAACGCGGGTTGGGACGTCTTTCACGACCACAGGGACGCCATCCTGGCTCACTATCACCACAAACAGATGAGCACCCTGGGTACAAAGTTACTACAAACGGTGAGAACCCACATCGCTACTATACACATTTTCTCCTTTTTTGTTTGTTTCCACAGTTGTAAAGATAACCATCTCATTAATAAAAGAAGTATCAAATGTGATATTAAAGGCCCAGCCTTGTGTCCCAATTTATGTAGAACCCTCGGGCTTACAGAGCTACACGCCAGCTGAAGGCGGACTTCAAAGCCGACTGTCTGTACCGGGTGATCGACTGCTTCGTGCATTTCACGGTCCTTCCTGCAGATCAAGATCTGCTGCGGATTCTTCAGGAGATCAAGGAGTGGGGAGTTATCTGAATGACCACTGATTAGTATGGCCGATATGTCAGTATTTCCCTTCAAGTTTGTTGTTAAAGAAGGAAGAGAAAATTCTGTTCTTGGAAAGATAGTAACTTTATACAGACTCCTGAACAATAATAAGTATCATCGGTGAAAGGTACACATCCAGGCAACAATATATGCAAAAAAAAACAAACAGTTACTAGTACTCAAGATTTTGGAAAATCAAAAATCATATCCAGTTGCTTGAAAAACTTTTTTGGGCGTATATAATATGTGTCTCGTTTTTGTGCATCTCCTTACATAAACAAGGGACTCATCTAGCGTTACCAATTTTAATCTATATGTTGGTTCTCATTATAATACTTTTTTTGGGGAATCTTCAACAAATTATTAGGTCAAGTCTTAAGATGTGATAATATATACTTTGAACTGATGGCTGAGGTGGCCGAACAAATGCGTAATTCATTATTCAACGTTCAGTTTCTAAAAGGTGTTTATTCCTCTTAACAGATTATCTTAATCATTAATAATCTTAATCTACCGGCATTAGGCCCAGATAACGAACAGGCCTAAGTTAGAACCTCATTTGGCACAGCATTGTTATCAACTGCTAAAATTCACACCGTCTGCACCATACAAAATTACAATGTTAGCCCAAAACAAAACCTTACCATTACCAAACAATAGTACAGATGTTCCTTAAAAAAAAACCAGACAGTCCTGAGAAAGACAAACAAGCCTAAGGTATGACACCACTGGAAGAGCATAGGAGTTTTTTTTTTCTATCTTGGAATGTCCTGTATTGTCTTCTCCAGGTCACATGTCCCATCTTGACTGAAATCCTGGGTAGAGCAAGGATATACATGTAGTGAAGACAATGGCCTCCTTGAGTAGAGTTACTTCACATCACGCTTCATGGGAGGTTTGTTTCCAAGGATACCGTCCAGTTCTGTCAGAATCTGGGGTGTTAACTTCTGTACCACCTGCATGGAGGTAATCAATGAAACATTCATATGATGAAAGGAAAATAACATTATCCTAATCACATGCGTTTACCTGTATTCATATATTGAGAGCATTGAATTCACCTTTTTTTTTATTAACTCGATCCAGTTAGGTCTGGGTTTTGGGCAGGCATTGTACATTCTGACAATAGGTTACCATAGTAAATATAGCCATTAGAATTGTAAGGCACATGCAGTCTGCTTACCTGAAGAGACTGTATATTTTCATACAGCTGCTCTATAGAAGAGGCACCAAGGAGAACTGAGCTGACTGTCTCATTCCGTAAACACCAGGCTGGGAATAAAAAAAGAAAAAAAGCCTTTCAGGCCAGAGAATGGGTATAAAAGTAGCAGAATAGACAAATAATCATGAGTTGTCTCAACTGTTGTTTGTACATTGAAATACAGTTTTGTTTTCATTTTTCAATGGAAATTCCTACTAACCAAGGAGGTTAATGTATTTAACCTCCTTGTACTAACCAAGTGTCCAGTAACAGTTATTCAGTACATTTTTTGCTCTCCAATATGACTACTGGTATTACTAGTAAATTGGAAGTTTTATGAATAAAATGTATTTAACCTCCTTGTACTAACCAAGTGTCCAGTAACAGTTATTCAGTACATTTTTTGCTCTCCAATATGACTACTGGTATTACTAGTAAATTGGAAGTTTTATGAATAAATCCTTATTTCCTGTGCTGAATGAATATGATATAGGCTTTAGTAGTAATAAATTTTTTTAATGCCAATATACAATTCATGTACATGTACCTATACTACAAATTACAACACCCTCCCCAATCTAGTAAGAAATAGTGTTTTGGATATGAGTTTACCAATAGCCAGTTGTGGCAATGTGCAGTTGAGTTTGTCGGCTATAATCTGTACTTCTCTCAGTTTGGCCTGTTGTCTTCTCCCATCTTCACTCAGGATTTTATCCTTCAGCCACCCGTATCCCTGCAAGACACATGAAACCCAAAGTCAAGCTGTGTTTCCTCCTAGAAAGGAAAATATTGTAACAGTGCGCTTTAGTAACCTTGAACAGACTACTTAACAGCAGAATATGTATCTTCCATTAGTGCATTCCTGTAGACATACGTAAATGGTGTAAAATGACTAATGGAAAGTCCACACAAATATTCAGCTAGTTCACCTTATTGGTATTCATTTGCCTTTAGAGGCGCATCTGAAAGTGACAGATGGCTAATGGAAAGTGCAGAGAAGGTTACATTTTACAGTCACTTCAATACGTCCAAGTTTTTCCTGTTACCAATGGCAACTGTCATCAAAGAAATGACGCACACATGATGCAATCTCTTAAGGATGTTCCTGCCTTTCAAGGAATTCAATATAAGTCTTACTGTTGAGCTACATGTGGCTTCTAGCCTTCTCTTGCCACAAACATGTACTGCTGAAGTCTACTTTGATTCTCACAACCCACTACAGCCGGTCTCATGCTGTCCATGACTAGAACCAGCTTTGCCATGTTAAACAGCTCTAGATCTGTTCCCCCAATGGGTCCTGCCAACACACTGGCTGACAAGTTTAACAGGCAGATCCCATGTCTTGTGTGGCTCTTAAAAAACAAGACTGTCAGCTACGACCAAGCCAAAGAAGCCTGCACCTCGTTAAAGGACTTTTCGGAGCTTGGAACAGCGACCACTGTCATCTTTTGGGTGATGGGACTTCACATGATCATCACTAACGCTGCTGTGCTCTCGGGAATCATCATGCGACGAGAGCTTCACAAGGAACACTACATCTACATCGCCAATCTGGCCATGTCTGATCTCCTGGCAGGCTTGGGACTTGTGTGCCGGACTGTACACCAGGTTGGATTGACCAGACTGTATAGCATCATGAATACTTCCACTTTTCTCATCCACAGTCAGGTCATGTCTGCGTCCGCTCTAACCCTGCTGTCTGTAAACAGCTACATCGCTATCAGACATCCTATCTACTTCCACAACCAAGCTGTGAATGCCAAACGTAACGCAGGTCTAGCTATTGTCTCTACATGGCTTCTTCTGTCTTTATTTGTCTTCTTGCCCAGTATGGGAGTGAACTGTCTACAGATGCCCATATCAAAGTGTTTTAATTTCTACTCGCTTGTTTTCATTGGCTTTGTGGGTGCTGCAATCCTCTTTCTGGCTAGTGTAATCTTGTTCTTGAATATCAGTATACTAATAGCTATGAGGAAAAGAATAAGGCAGCCAGTGAGAGTACAAGAACTTACAAACAATATTCCAGGACAAAACGGTACGGAACAAAATCAAGCTACCAACGTTGTACAAGATGACGAACAGAGAAGATTCCAACGACGTGCACACAAGGCCAGGACAGTCCTGATTCATGTGGCGGTGGCTTTTATCTTCTGGGTTGTGCCCCTGGTGGTCATCCCAGTCTGTCGCAAGGCTGGGGAGAAGTGCCAGCTTCCGGCTGGGCCGAGTGGAGTTGCTGTCCTGATGACACTGAACTCAGCAATAAGCCCGATCGCGAGTATCATCCGCACTCCGGAGTTGAGAAAGGGGATCCGACAAAACATCACAGCTATTTATGAGAGACTAAATGTGGTGATCACACTGGTAAACTGTGTAATTCAACAGGATCCACAACCTGCCCTGGAAAATTCCCCAAACCAGCTGGAAGACAACGCAGGTGCAGGTACACAAAGTGCACTTGCAGATGTAGAAGTGTCTACAACTAGACATCACCAAACTGTCGAACATGGCATGGAAGGACCAAAAGCTTCCTCCTCCAAACCAAGGACTGAAAATCTTCCCATGGTAGAAATAGGCTGACTGTATCAACATCTCAACCTACATCCTGCAAGGAAGATCTGTGGCAACAAAGGTAGAAAGAGGCAATGCAGGAGATGGGGAGATGATTGTCATTAATAACTGTACTGGCAGGTCTCTAACAGTATGTAGAACAGCATTCAGCACAGGACAGAGAAGAAAGGAGGAGGCCAATGCTGGATGCAACCATAGTCCCCCTACATAGCCCTCAAGATGTGACTTAGGACATTAGGTGAAGGTACCACGAGCATACACAACAATTGTAAGTACAAGTACATAATTTTGTTAATGACTGTAAGAGAGGAATGACCGTAAAATGTATCACACGTGTGTTGTGAGTGATAAACAATCATGTATTATTGAGATTGACCCGAATTTTGCTGAAGTTATTCTGTAACAGTATTACTGTAGAGCAGACCTTACCTTGAGAGCAGCTCTGGAGTAAATGGGCACCCCATCGTCATACTTTCCTGTGATGATGCCACAGGCCAGGGGGGACCAGGTCATCGCTCCTACACCTTTGTAAAATAGTAATACATGATTGTCAGAGACAGCTACCAGACATTATACCATGAACCCTCAACTACAAGGAACAGTTACTGTATGCAAAGGCACAGCTCTTATCACTACCGGCAGTGCTGTATACCAGTTCACTGGACCGGTTCCGGACTGTGAAAATGTTTAGGTTCAAGTCCAATAAAACCTAAAACTCAAGATCAAGAACTGATTCCGGACTTATGACAAAAAAGAAAACATGTCACAAAATCTGTGCTGCAAAATGAAGAAAACATTGCCATCGGGCATCGTCAAGTGTCGGCCTCCATGTTATGTGGCCAAAGTTTTGCCCAAACAACATTGCATGGTTGCCAACATGCAATTTTGTATATGCCACGGATTTTGGTCCGGACTTACGAGTCCAAAATTGTACTTAAACCTCTGGACTTCAATCCGGACCTAAACCTAAATGTGGGTTTAGGTACACAGCACTATCCCCAATGCACAGCCTCTTTCCTAGACCGATGGCATCATATGAATCCTTAAAACTTACCTATCTTGGCATAGAGTTCTGGCAGCTGTGCCTCAACCTTCTCCCGCTGGAAGAGATGGTACTCTGCCTGCTCTGCTATAGGCGGGATCAGGTTAAACTGTCTGGCTACTGAGTATGCTTCCTGAAAAGTAAAGAGTGCACTATTATGCTGGTTATTAGCCTGAATGTACATCTACAGTCATCCATCTTCTACGTAGTACATGTGTACATGTATACCATATATCCACTTCAAAGAAATGTATGGACATACATGTATATTACATGAAATGAAAATGACTACTTAGTATTAAGTAAGAAGAATGGTGTATAAGCATTCATATATCATAGTACAATTTCTATGCTTGGTAAAGTGACAGTAGTAGGCAGTTTGATTTGTACAGTATCAATATCATTTGTTTTGATTTACCTTGCGGTTTAGCAATACAACACTGAATGTATGATTGTATGTACTGTATGTATGCATGTATATACTGACCATAATCTCCATGGGGCTCCATCTGGATGTGCCCCAGTACAAGGCCCAGCCTCGGTCAATCACATAACTGAAGGCACGTACTGTCTCTGGGAAAGGAACAACATGCTACAATGTACTTGTCATACCTGCATTTGTGATGCAAAAACATTACGTTCAACATAAACGTAACACTTAAGTTTTAGATTTTTCATACTAAGTCTACTTGGCACAGCTATTAAAACTGATCGTGTTAGATGCTTCCAAAAATTTTCTTCTTTTGAACAAATCTTGAATCAACTAGAAAAGCCTCCCTAGACTAGAGTACTGTACATGTACCTTCCATAGGAGTGTTAGGATCTGGTCTGTTGGCGAACACCACATCCACATATTCCAGCTGCAGCCTCTGTAGTGAACCCTGCAGACCCTCGATGATGTGTTTTCTAGACAGCCCTCGTTCTGTCTCTGCCCTGGAAATCATCAAATTTAAACTATTATTATTAATAGTAATAGAGCTTCCTTTTCAGCTTTTCTTGAGATATCACCACAGGTAAAAGTCAGAAAGGCTGTTTCTTGAAATTAGCCAAGGCTTCCAATGCCCCGTTCCTTGCAAGTGGGTGACAGAGAAAAATGAGCAGATCTAGAGGTTTAGGCTTTGGCTTATTTTTGACCTGTCTTTGGCCATAATCTTATTGGGCATTCAGGTGGCATATTGGATACTGCCTGGCCAATTTGATACTGTCTTGCCAATTTAATCATGTATGGCAGCAATTGAAAGATCTGCTTGGAGATTAGCAAAATCAATCCATTTCAAAGGTACCGGTAAACTTCAAGATAAAGTACCGGTACTTACCTTCCTCCCCAGAATATCTTTGTAGTAATGACAAGGCTGGATCTCCTGAAAGTGCAAAAACAAGATGGTCCATGCCTTTTAGTCTGAATGTTTTTTTACTTCCATGATATCTACAGCTACCAGCAAAGATTAGCACTTAACATTATACATGTACACTGCTTCATAGACAATCATAACCCAATCTCTGCATAATACTTAGTATATAGTAGAGGGGATTCATTCCTCAAGCTACCGACATCTTGCACACGCAGTCGTCCCTCAGTAAGACATCTGGAGCCGCATAGTTCCCATTTAGAACTTTTATTCAGCCTGTCACACAGTGTGACAGGCTGAATAAAAGTTCTAAATGGGAACTATGCGGCTCCAGATGCGTGTGCAAGATGTCGGTAGCTTGAGGAATGAATCCCCTCTACTATATTCTGCATAATACTTAGGATAACAATAAATTCACTGTTACATACCTCCATCCCTTTTTCTTGATGACGTTTCCTAGTGTGATTTCTGCTCTGTGTTGAAGAGAAAAAAACATGACGGGACATCCAGTATGTAATTACAACTGTAAATTGTGAGATATATGGCAAAGCAAACATGGCATATAAGGTACATTATGTATATCTGATATAGCAGGAAATTGAACACAGGATATGAGATCATCTTTTCTGGAACATTTCTGGGGCCTTTGACCTAATTTTCTGTCAGTGTCCCTGGGCCGGTGGGGCTTGCATGTAGAAATGACTATGGAAACACAAGCAAACATACAGACACACTGAAAACTACATACTTGCCAGCTGCATACACTTCTGCAGTGTCAAAAAGGTTCACACCGTTCTCATAGGCTAAAGTCATCAGTTCTTCTGCCATCTGGAACAAAAAAGTCAAGTCAAGAGTTAGGACATATTGGGATATCCAGACAGACACTCATATTAAGGTTTTTTTTCAATACAAACAATCTATGGGACGTGAGAAAATACATAATATATACTTATCAACATAAAAAAAAGTCAATTATGCCATGCATGTACCATGATGGAAAAGTGTTACATGCATCTAGAGAGAGGAGACCAGTCTTAGACAGAACACAAATCAACATGAACCTGTACCTCATCTGTTACTTGCCCTCCAAATGTCACCCATGTTCCTGTAAATAACATACAGTATGTTCACAACAACTTTTATAGTCATAAAAATAGATCCAAGTGAGAATAACAACTCAAAGTATCTACTGTAACATAATAACAGACAGGACCGTCATGTACAGCAAACCTTTTCACAGTCTCCTCCTTACAACAGAATTCTACTTCTTCATCACATTTCATTCCAATGACCAAATCTCTCAAATGAACCAACACAAATAACAAACGGCGAAGGTATGAGATTTTTTACCCCTAGTTCGTAATTACTTACCCAGTCCAAGGCAAGACACCCGTAGCCCAGACCTTCCAAGATTCCTGTGAAGGATGAAAACTTGATACATAATGCATTTCTTTGACAAATACATTGTTGTACATGCTAACATGTGAAAGAATATTGATCCATTGATATGTCAGAAGATGAATAAATATCAATGGAATAAGTTGCACAATAAGAACCCCACTATTGAAATGTCACCTCTGACAAGCTCTTAACTCATGTACACATGTATTATGATATGTAGCATATCAAAGAACAAACTGTGGCTTTTCGAGCCCTCGGCTGGTTATACATGTAGCTCCAGCCTTACCTATAGCGCATACGACAGACCTGGCGTCTGTCCAGGCTGTTTAGAACCATCCTCTCCATACTCTGTACAGCCGAACGGAACCGTAAACCCTGGTGCAACCCATCCTTATTATTACTGCACTGTAAAGTACACATTTTCACACCAACAACACTGACAAAGAATCTACTGCACCCACAAGGTACTACAACTCTTCCTGGTTGAGTGCTGGAGTTCCACAGATATAATGTCTGGCACCACTGCGGGATATAAATTGCCTAATTTCATGCACAGCCTGACCTGCTATCACTGGTGGCACCTTTCCAATCAATACCAAATCACAGCTGGATATTCCCTCAGACCTATATATAAGTTAGAATGCTAGTCAGTCATCCCCTGAGAGTATAGTCATGCATCCCTTGAACTTCTTGAACTCGAGCTCTTGAACTTGAACTTCAGCTGAAAACAGCTGCTGCATTAGTAAACAGACAGTAAACTACTGGCCAAGACATGGATTGTAATAGTTGTGGCATACGGCCACATTTCTCGTAGGTCATATAAATTAATTTTGATCTGGTGGAATTTCAAGCAGGCTTTCACATAATAAGCAACTGCCGACTATGGGAATTATCTTATCTAGTATCTAAGAAAGTCTTTTCCATAACAAGACATCAGTGTTGCAGGACATACACACATGAACATATGACTACCCAAGAATGCTGTATACCATAATATGTGAATGAGCCCTTCCTCATGTCTAATTTTCAAGGTAATTTAAGTATAAAAATGTATGTATTAAAAGCATTATCTAAAGCATTACATGTAATAATCTATACATGTATATCTTAAGAATTTTTCCCTTGAATCTTTACTTCTTCCTTGGGAGAATAGCATACAAATTCAATATGTCACAACAAAGAAAACATCAATTGTTCTGTCGATGAAGGTTAGACATCCAGGTAAACGATACGCCAAAAAGCAGTTACTCAAGCAACTGGATATGATTTTGGATTTTGTTCAGTTGCTTGAGTAACTGCTTTTTGGCATGAATTGTTCCATTCATCACCACACCTCCCCCTGTGCCATACTTGGTGATGTACGATGTCTACACCTGTTGATTGTGGACACAGCGAGGGTCCAATTTCAGGCACGGATTGAACCCGTAAATTTAGTCAGCTCTGAAATTCTTCCTGTCAACACTAATGAGGGATAGCACATTGGATGGTAGTTATACATGTACAGGCCATGTGCATGTACTATTCATATGGAGGTTCAGTGAACATAATCCATTGAATGTCCTATTTTCCTATCTGTTACAGCTATAACTTAAAAAGGTATTGTACATTTAATAATATATCAATTAGTTCGTTGGAGATTCATGTCATTTTACTCAGAAGAGCCATGTTTACAATGTATACGACTTTACAACTACAATTTTGTGAAGAAAGTTGTTACCTGTTGTGTAAACAGAAAACCCCCAAATTGTTTGTTTGTAATTATAACGTTACATACCTGTAGATCATGTTGCTAGATTTCCTTGAGAAGTTAAGCTGTCTGGAGACCTGGAAACATTCAGCTGTTCTGTCTCTCACGTGTCACCGGTATCTACGTACTTCAAATTCTTCATTGACGAAGTCACTGTAGAGAGCTGTGGTTCATATCATAATATGATCATATGATAGGATTGCCAACGTAATAGAAATTTCATATGATTTTATAATTTCTAATGATAACTGTAAAATGGATTGATATATCATTTTTTGCTAAATTACCATGTTCAATGTGTACAACACTGACTATAACTATACAAGACTACTAGTATGTGCTTTGGGTCTGGCATCCAGGCTATAAAGTGCCATCATGATGATAATGTGTGTTTTTGTATTCTGCTCAGCTCACATTAAGGTCATTCAATTTGGGGCTTCATGTGTTGAATTATCAATGAGACAAATCCGATACTGTGCACACAACATGGTTCTTTAATTGTTTGAACTGTTTGGTTAAACATTCCGACACCAAAGCTGTGAGACAAGGCAAAATCTGATAGAATCGACGAAGAAGCCGTAAGTTTTCAAGGATTCAAACCGCTGTGTTTTCCCCCTAAAATAAATGGCATGTAGCAAACTAACAGGGTTTTCAACAAGCACACGACATTTTACTATCACGTAAGCATCACGTAATCAAGTAAAGAAAATGTATCTAAACGTTAGAAAATTATATAAATATTTGAGAACAACATCTCGAGCTCTCTGCCCCCCTCCCCATGTCAAAATTTACTCAAAATCTTGACGGTATTTTACATTTTGACAAGGTACTGTCGCCAATTCCCTGAACTCCACGCTACATATTGTCCGTCTCTGTCCTTCAAGTATAAGCTCAAATCGTTGAAAAATAGGAAAACTACGACGTAACCTTACCGTTTGACAGTCAACTTCCATTCAAATGGCTCAACAAATTGAAAATTTGCGCTTAGATTAGCAGACGACCATGGCAGACGACAGATGTATGAAACCACACGTGATTGGTTAGAAACTGTCCCGGGTCGATAGATTGACACTGGAGCACCAATCAGAGCAGACGTTATAAAACAATGTTTACTTTGTGGTAACGTTAGCAGATTATTCGCTACACTGAAGCTAGCCAATGATTGGTGGCCTACCATCTCAAAAGGATAAAATAAAGTCATCAAAAATATAGGTTACTTTTCAGCTTCACAGAATAAAAAAGTTAATGCATAGAAATCCATGTACATGTAACCTCTTTGTTGCTTGAGAAGTTATGTTATGAAGGTGAATATTGTAACATGTTAGATAAAATATTTGTATGGTCTATGTAGAAAGTATTTCCGAATTTGGCACATGCTTCCACATGTAATAATATATAATCTGAAGAACGCACTTATACATAATAGTTATAGTCATCTGCTTTTCTTCATAATACTTGAGAAACGTTATAAGAAAGACCGATGAATTCTGTCACTGTACTGTTTATATATTTGGAATGATTTATTTAGGATAAATTTCAACTTACATGAAACTTACACAATTATAAGAGCCACATGGACAAAGTACATTTTTTGTACCATAAAAGATAACAATACTAGACAACAGTCATGACAATGAGCTTTATATAGACAGCATATTCTTCCCTTCATGTAGCAAGCACTAAGCAACAATAGAACATACTAGAAACCAGATTTCATTTTCAATAACATAAGAGCTTTGGAAGATAACATGTGAGGAAGGCTATCCCAATCAATAGAAATAAAATGGTTGCTTTGTTGAGTATTTTTTTAATGCAATATAGCTTAAAAATCTGTAACCCTACATGTATACATTTGTATTATTGTCTAACCAATGTGAAGGCGACTAGATAATGGCACTTGTAAGCAAATAGTATTGGTTCGCTGCCCAACTAGCCAGAGGATATTAGTACAGATGACTAGCTTTGCTGACAAAGACAATACAGGACATAGCATTGAGATTATGAATATAGACCAATTTAGGGCCACACCAATCTACTAAAGTAATTTGTTGGTTCTTGGATTTTTTCAGAAAAATATGAAGCAACAGGGCAAAAAAAATAAAAAAAAATATCTAGCCATCATATTATGGCCCCAAATGCTACGATACAAGCCTTGAAGTCAACAAAAAAGGCTGGGTTAAAATTCTGAACTTTGAATCAAATCACTGCATTTGATAGATGGAAAACCTGTAACAACTAGGAAAAAAAGGACTTTCCTCAACTGTTGGGGGCAAAATATGAGCATTTTTGAGTTGATTCAGAACCAGAATCTTTTTTTTTTTGAAATCAGAAAAAAATGACGAGGCGAATCCGAGAAACAACAAATTAAATTGGTGTGGCCTAAGTAAGCAAAATAATAAAGGTAGAGCAGGAACATAGAGCTCAATGCATGCATGATTGTACAATTCATAGATATGTCTTCATGATGCTCTTGATAGTATACATGTATATAGTGAAGTTTTCTTAACTCTCTATGATTATTTATTCATATTATACTTGACCCTGTACTGTTTATGTATGGTGTCCTCTACACATACATCATATTCACATCGGTTACATGAGTATATTTCATGGAATGTTTCAGTTTACATCATAACAACTAAGAATAAATAGATCCAATCTTTCTAGTATTTGAATGATATGTTGACACAAGTACATTTAACACATATACATATTTACAGAATACAGTTTGGACACTACACCTTGGACTTAAAACACAGAAGATATATAACATATTAATATAATGTGACATCCAACGTTATACTTTTAGGAATGTAATGAAGTTTGTGCATGCATCTATGAATATAATCAATAAGAAAAGCATGCTTGTTTTGATAATTAGAGCATTAGTGCTTGGCAATGGCTGTTTCCGCATTCTGAAAACACAGAATTCAACCTACCTAGCAGATAGTAGGACAAGACACAGGATATTAGTAGTTTTTAAATCTATGATATGTCAGTCAACTGTTTTTTTTTAAGAAACTAAGGTTGCCTATATCAACATTGGTCACTTTAAACATAGAACAAATTTGGAAAAAGAAGAATCTTGAATATCTCTTTAACTATGAAAGTTATTACTGAGAGAACAAAGGTAGCAAAATATTGAAGAAAGCATTATTTTGTTTTCAGAGGCATGAGAAACATGTGAGAGTACATGTTGAAATACATTGTGAGTAACCCACGATTTTTCGAGTTCAAAGTGTCTTCCCAAGTTAAAAGCAGTCAATGTTTCATTCATATGTAAGGGCGTTCCCAACAATGGGGTCTTGCATTTAAGGTGAAGAGAAAATACACACTGTAAATTGTGTGTAATACATGAACTGACATCATTAAAAACACCGGAGTTAACAAACATCCCTGTAAGGCTATTTCCTGCATAATATTACACAGTGTACTTCTACATATGTTAGGCCACACCAATTTAATTGGTTGGTTCTCAGATTAAAAAAAAAAGATGAAGCAAAAGGGCTAAATATACTAGTATGATAGCCCCCAAAAAGCTCCAAATGTACTATAGGAGCCATAAGTCAACGTACCAGGCTGGTTTATAACTCAAACAATGAATAATGAACTTTTAATTATAAAAAATGTCAACATCTAGGAAGACAAAAACATCAGGCGAATCTCAGAACCAATTGATTAAACTGGTGTGGCCTTATATGATTACTAAATCTTGTTACATTTGGAACAATTGCATCTCTATATCTCATATATATATTTATATATATATATATAGTAGTTCTTCTGTTGAACAAAATATAATCATGGTAAATTTTTCTATAGTAGTATCAGTTTTACGTTGATGCAACATCACGGTGACTTGTGTCCGTTGGCCAGACCCACCACCACCTCCGTTTCCAGTGGACTTCTGGACGTGACGCCGTCCCCGTTTCTCTCGCCTTCGTTGTGATCCTTTTTCTTGTTCTGATCCTCCAGTGCCACCTGCATGTCCTTGTAGTACTGGAGGGCATCCCGCACCGGCTGGATGATGTGAGGCTAGTAAAATTAAAATAAATTTTATCAAATATGAACATAGCAGTCATTTACATGTATGCACATTACTGCAGTAGTACAAATGTAGTACATGTAGTAGTAGTAGTAGTAGCAGCAGCAGCAGTAGTGGTAGTACTTACATTGTAGTCTAGTAGTAGCAGCGGCAGTAGTAGTTACCATTTTCCATAGGTTGATTCCTTTTACAAGATTTCTTCCCCATTTATGTTTATCAAGATACATGTACAAATGGCAGAATTTCATTTTGACCCCAATATCCTGCCATTCAGCACCAAGGACAGTGCCTGGATGTAATCTTCATGCAATGAAAAATGACATTATCTCTTCTATATTTCATTCTCACACTGCCAGAGGTACATGTAATAGGTATAACGTTATCATCAGGACTGAATAACTCAATGAAGGATAGTCAATAGATACTTAGAACTAAGTAATTATAATTAAGAAGAAATGTCTTCTTTGATTGAAAGTATGGCATAAGTATGGCATAACTCACATCTACTTTACATCTTACATCTTCTTTTTTGGAATGAAAACTTAAAACCAAAAACAAAAGGGATGAGACTTCACCCAGTAACATTACCTGCATTTCAGGGAAGATACAAGCTGCTGCCTCAAAGAGAGGTAGAAGGACAAACTGGATGAAACCGGTTTGTGAGGAAGGTTTTGTCACCTTCTCTCGATCCATGAAGGGGGTGACAGGAAGGCCTTCCAGCTTTTCCACATCACTCTGAAATTACATATTTCATAACATGGCCATCACTATGATCATATAATGTCCCAATAGTCAAAGTGTTCACTTATACATGTGCATGAAACACAAAACAGTAACGTTACACCGGGGTACTACAATTGTATACCCAGACATAAACCTAGGAATCAACTTACAAACTTGTGTAACAAGCTTGGTGAAAATCAAGGATGTTTACAAATGAAAGGGTTACTGTCAACCAATTATCATACTCAGGTGAACAAATATGGTACAAAAACGTTAACACCTTTAAACTGCAAGAGATCTGGGCCTACATGTGCTAGTATCTGCCATTTAAAGTGAAATAAAATCCTGTACCTGATTAAAAAACTCCTTCAGTAGGCAGTCCAGCCAAGGCTCGGCCACGTCCATGGGCCTGGCTTCGTTAGAGATGTCACTCACCTTCATCAGAATCATCATCAACTGCACAATGCAAGATGGACAGTTTTATTTCACAAAACTACCGGTAGATCGCACATAATTGACCTTTGTCGTCCCAACCCCAACATACCTACCAACCAAATATCATAAAGATACATGCACTACGCCCCAAGCTAGAAGTAGTATCCAGTCTTCGATACCACCCCGTACAACCGGTTAAAAAAAATCACCAACCCCTCTATATGGTGTACCTAGCACATAACCTTCTTGAGGAAGGTAACAAGGCTTAAAGTCAGTTATGATAAACTCTAAGTGAAAACTGAATGAAATTGATGACACAGGTGACAATGACATGTATATTGTACTTTGTGGACCTCCACCGTTGACTTCAAGGACCCCTTTTGACTTTGCCTTGTGCCTGAAATCATTTCACAAACTAGACAGGAAAAGAAACACTTGATACCCCTTTATCTAGAGGATAAATACTGACACCTACCAACATCTACTGGAACTGCACGTAATGCTGAACATAAATCGTTGGTCCCATGGGGGACATTCTAACAGTTGGTGCATTACATGGCTTTCTAGTTCTAACATATTCGCAATATCTTGTGCTGCTGTGTTCTACACTACAGTTAAAAGGCAAAACCTTCAAAATGATAGGCATAGATACAACTGTATGCATAACGTTACTCCATTTTTTAAATATTTATTCACGAGAAGTGGGATGCCACCTACCTGTTCTCTGTGCTCTTTGTTGCTGAAGTCAAATTCAGGAATCAGAGCTTTAAATTTCCCCAGGATTTCATTGTGTCTGGCCATGTCAGTTGCCAGGATACACCTGCATTTATTACACACAGAATAAACAACAGGTGTCATGTAAATAAACGAACAAAGGCAAATGTACTCATTTACGGGCAATGCACATTTACACATAATATATGTAGTTTCAATTTGGCTATAACTCAGATGTGGGGGAAAGCTACATGTAATTGTGTAGTGGTGAAAATACTTTTTATCCTGCTTGCCATTTTGAATGCAAAGGTACAAAAAGGCAACTTGGTATGCTATCCTTTCTGGGAGACTTGTACATATCATGCAATGGCACATCCAAAATAGATCCTTCTTAAAACATTTCTGCCCCTTCTTTACTCAAAGAAATACATGTAACAACACAAGATCATATGATATGCAGATTATACAATATCATATATAATACAAAGAATATACTGTGACAGTCATGTTAAAGGTTTGACAAAACAATTTGAAAGCTCATGCATTCATGATTCCATTATTTGTAGATGCTGAAGAAATGCAAACTTGCTGCTCAGTGAACACTCACCTGATCATGCCTTCACGGACTTTCTTAAAGTTTTCAACGCTCAGGTTCCTGAAGATGTTGCACTCCGGCTGTGACAACATGACACAACATACATTGATTTAACATAGTTTTGTCCATAGTACTGAAATGTGATCTGACCCATCCACCCCACTACAGTACATGGTTGTGTAAGGCAGAGGAAAATTGATAATCCAATGCAATTTCAGAGTTGCTAAAAAAAAGACATTTAGGGTGAGGAAATCTGTTCTATATCAACATTTACTATCGATAATCATTTCTTAGCAGATTTTTGTCATCATTTTATTTGAAATATCCCTGAAAATAAGCTATTTTTTAATTGTTTTGTGGCTATTTCAAAAACTTGAAGTAAAAAATGATGACAAAAATCTGCTAAGAAATGACAGTAAATGTCAATATAGGACAGATTCTTCATGCTGTCCTGCTTTTTTTTGTATCATAGGCTGGTTCTAGCTTTTTATTGGTGGTATTAATTTAGTAGACAGCATGTAGTTTGACAGCAATGATTAGCCCAGTACAAACCACAACCTCTTGCACAGGACCCACTAGGCCACAGACTAGAAGTTGTAACATAAATGTTATTAAGTGAACTTGTAGCAGTACAAATGTACTTACCTTTTCTAGGATTTCAAATGCTACGGCGCAGTGATGATTCTCCAGTGGGGAGATGTCGTTATATCTCAGGGCCAGCTCTGTTCTTGCATTAACCTGAAACAGCACAGAGGACATTGCAGGCCAGTGATACAATGGTATTGACTTTTTGAGAGAAAAAGGTGTCGCAATGTCAATCGTTTGCTTAGACTGTCACACAGGGCCAAGAAAAGTTTTAACCTCCCTATATAAACTGTCAGTAGAATCAAGGAGTATTTTTTTACCTCCTTGGTAGAATGCAGATGGCATCTCAGAATAGCAGTGAATAGCACCTACAGTAATTGTACTGCTACTACAAGACGTTGTGCAAATGCAATTATTTTGAAGGGGAGATGTGAACCAATAATTCTTTCCTTTTTCAAACAAGCAGAATACAAGAACAGTACATGTAAATAAAAGAACCAACACACAAGCAGCATATACTACATATTCATAACACAGTAAAATACCATCACAACATCACTATGAAAAACTTAAACTGTTCTCCAACTCAAAATTTGACTCACCAGAAATTTTCGACTGAATCACTCAGTCTTCCTCAGCTATCTGACCCAAATGCTGTGGACACGTGATACATCAGGGCACTTCAACCATCGCTCAACCGGGACGGGGGGCGATATCGACTTCAGACAACCTTTGACCCTCTGCTGACGTCACACGTGGGAAAAATCACGTGTCCACAGCATTTGGGTCAGATAGCTGAGGATGACTGAGTGATTCAGTCGAAAATTTCTGGTGAGTCAAATTTTGAGTTGGAGAACAGTTTAAGTTTTTCATAATGTAATTTACCAACTCAGATGAACTTTCATGCTGATCACAACATCACATTATGTCTGGAAGATTTGAGTGTACCTGATATGCATTGTTGTATCCTGGATGGTCCAGGTCGTGGCATAGTGCAGAGGTGAGCATGACGAGTATCTCCACATCACTCAGCTTCTCCCACACCTCACATAACCAGATGATCCCATACATCTGCGGGGGGAGGCCATCATTAAAATTAGTGCAGTCAGAGAATCATTAATACCTACATGCAAATATACAAAGCATTGGCTTTCTTAGCCCCACAAATACCATGCACATGAAAATACACTGCACATGATCTGTAATAGTGGTATACCAACATGGATAATACAGTACACACAACATTTGAAAACTAAAGACTGGATGCCATCCTCACATGTACGACCTTAATAAAAGAAGATGTCCTGTGCTATGCACAATATATTACAGGTTTTACACAGGCATACGCCTCACTGTTGTCTCGTGCAGAAATTTTCTTTTTTGCATGAGATTTCCTCACCATTTGAGTGACACAGAAGGCATGGTTGAAGTTGTGAAATGGGATCTGGTTATAGTGTCTGTAGACCTCATATAAGAATTGCTGCAACACTGGTGTCTGTAAAAAAAGGAAAGAAACTGTAAAGTTAAATCACAATATTTTCTAAAAACCTTCAACAGCTTGAAATGTCAATGGATACAAGCCTGATATCTACACTGACAGATTTGCCAGCCTTTTAAAGTACCATGCCTCACAAAAGAAAACTGCCAGTTTTAAGGTCATGAAATCTTTTAGTACAGATGAATTTCATGCTGTCTCTTATATAATGCAATAATTCCTCAACACACCCCTCCATGCTCATCCCTGCTCATCCCCCAAACGTGACACAAAATGCTAAACTACGAAATACAATGACTTCATGTTCTGACCTTTCGTGGAAGATTGCTGTTGGTTTATAGCCGCTCTTAAAAGGGACATAAAACCTGGGAAAACTAAACTTTGAGTCTTAATGGATGCTATAGCCCGCTGGGATTAAGGAAGGTCTGCCAGGAAATCTGATCTTAAGAACAAAGCCTTTCAGGAGGAAACTTAATATTCCCCCCAGATCTGGCCATTTGGAGGCTCATTAGGCCATTTCAATATGCTTTATGTTTCTGGGATATCTGTATCTCTTTAGCCGGTATAACCGTCCTTCACCGTAACACACCAGCTTTGCAGGCATGCGGCGTGGCGGCAGCTAAATGACATGTTACACCTAAACCTTTAACATCTAACTCTAAACATTGTTTAAAGCTATCTAATGATAATGCAGCTACTGTACTTGGTGACAGCGAGTTCCACTCTGCAATGAGTTTTTGAACATCGCAATCCTCCAGGTAAAAAAACTCTGGTACATGATGAAGGCATTACTATTTCTCGTTCTTTTCTGAGCTGGTATTAGGTACTTCTCAATATTGCAAGATAAGTCTGGTTTTGAATACAAAAAAGAACAGGTGTTTGACAGCCAAAGGTGTTCTTGTATCATCTTATATGCGTGTACATTGTATAATATGTCAGGGTAGAGACTCTGATCTGATAAAAAAACCTTGGAAACTCACCTCAATGTTAAACTTAGTGAGAAGTTCGAGTTCTATGTACATTTGTTGGAGTAGGAGTAACATCTCTGCATCATCCCATTGCCTGGAAAATAAAATTTCAAACTGAAATGTGTTTTTCCAGGTTGGGTATGTCATACTGTAAATCATATAGAACACAGTGTATTCCACATCATCCACTTTCCCAACTATCCGATTGGTCGGGCTTGAGTCACCATGTTAGCCTCCTGTTTAATTCTGGAATTCCAGTTTAATTCCAGACTGATTCCCATATCTCAGCATTATATCTAGATGGGCTAATATCGTAAACTATAGGTAAAAATGATGTAAGAAATATGTATATGAAGCGGCCATCGAGGACCCCTTGGGGATTAACACAATTCTGCAGAATTCTTCCCAGAATTCTTCCAAGAATTCTGGCTCCAGTTCCCAGAATTCTGCAAAATTCTGCCTCCAGTTCAGAATTCTGCAGAATTGGGTTAATCCCCCAGGGGTGCTTGATGGCTATCAAGTATTTTTAAAATCATTTTTATCTATAGTTTACGATATTAGCCATCTGGATGTAAAAATGTTACATAATATCAGTTTTTCTCCATTAAAACATGACCCTTACCAGTTATCAAAAGTGGGTTTCCTGAGGTGAAATCTAACATCTTCCGTGACTTGTACAGCGCTGGATACAAAATAGTAGAAAACAAATAAGCATACACAGTGAGCGAAGATAGCTCAAGGCTCAAGGAGAAATAATACAGTTCATTATAGTTACTGTCGCGTTTACTGCAAAACCCTTTCTATTATAATATGGTATGGTGAAACATTTGAAATTATCTATACAAGACTGTAGATTGCAATACATAATACATGTACATGAGTTGTACTAACAGTGCATTCAGTGACACCCAATGTTTCCGGTGTTAAATTGTCAAGGCGAAAGCTTACACATTTTTACCTCATTTTCTTGAAGCGGTCTTGCACCAGCTTGCAGTGTTCCAGACTCTTTCTGGCTTTACCCTTCTTGTTCCAGAAGGGGGATGACGTGCCGCTGGAAATGTCCTTAAACAGGCCGAGCCAACTTAAGTGTTCCACACTCTGCAACATGAGAGGTTAACATGTGTTTAATGTCCTGACACCGGCCACTCTGCACCACATTTGTTCTTGTTTGATGTCGACGTTGAATACATCAGGGGAAAACAAATATTATACCAGGATTGGCCGATTCTTGGGGAAAAAATGAGCATCGTCTGACGATGAAATCAAACCCTCCCAGACCACTTTGTACATGGAACAGGTGGGTGGATTGTTTCCAAAACTCAGATGTGCTTTAATCCGTCTGTAAAAACATCTCCCACACATGCAGACAGCCTGGGGGGGGGTCTTCTTTGTGAAAAACTAGGAGTCTACGTGTAGAAGTCCTCAACAGAGAAAGAAAGGTACAAGTATTGTCTACCTTGCCTGATGGTTAAACATGGAATTTGTCAGAAGTCTTAGTTTGTATACCAAGACTCAAAATATGCACCTTAGTGCATGGAAAATTGGAGCTGTGCAGATACCTGTCTACCTGCACCTAACCTGCACTGGTCCATATGTACTGAGTTTTATACATCCATGTAGGTGTATGTACAATGTGTGTATATTTTTATTTGCTGCAATGACTGTTACCACCTAGCATAAAAGAAATAGTGACAATGGTTTGTGAACAGTTTTTAGCCATGTAAATGCTAAGTGGTGCAGGTAAAACTTGTCTGGTGCAGGTAATTTTGAGTGCTACTTGCACCAGTGCAGGTATGCAAAAAAAAAGGATTTCTGAGACATGTATGTTGCTGAAAGACATAAGGCAAGAATCTGTAGTCTACCAGGTTGTATCTCTGAGTCAGCAGATTATAATGAGTGAACTAGTGAGTAAGTTGAAAGAAGAGTGTGCTTCTCTAATTAGCTTCCACACGTCTTGGACCTTACTTTGTATGTTTTGGTTCATTAAGTGGTGTCAACATCCGCAAAGAACCTCTCAACTTTATCAAGAGCTTACACAGCTGGTAACATTAAGGACCACCTGACATTTTCATGTACAGTGTTTCTACTTTGTAAACCCCTTGTGGCTACACCACCTTTTGTGGTTAAATGCTAGAAGAACATGTCATTGACAACATCAGAAAAAGCTGCAGCTGAGGACCTAGATCTTTCCAAGTAAGGTTTAACAGTTAAGCAAAACGGTTGGTTACACGCCAAATATGATATCAATATTTCAGACAATGCTGAGAGAAAATCGAACCCTGTTGGAGAGCAAAATCAATGTATGCCATTGTAAACATACATGTAGTGTAACTGTGGGGTTCAAGCACCACCAACTGACCAGTCTAACTGGTCCAGGCCTTTTATTTTAGCCTTGCAGTTAGTGAGTTAGGTTTGTGAGCTGGCAGCCCAGCTTCGAAGCAGGTTCGAATCTCGGGAGTCAAGAAATTGTACTACTCGCCTATTTCAAGTATTTGTGGTTTCAATCAGGTTTCAATGTAAAGCTAGAATGGAAACACAAAGGAGCGAGTACTACAATTTCTTGGCTCACGGGATTCAAACCCAACCAAACCTCAGCCACCAGCTGTTACAATATCATCAGCATGTACAGTCCCTTACTTCTAGTTTTTCTCGGAAGGACTCCACTTTTTTCCTCATCTCAAAAACCAGAGGTGGTGTCTCTCCACTCTCCACCAGGATTTTTCTCTCCAGATCCTCTAACCTGAAAAGGAAAATTAAGTAACAGTGTAACATTTATATGAACCTTTCAGTGTTTCACCTGTTTTAAGTTGAAACTTGTGTTCCAACACAAAGAATGGTTCTTACCTGGAGATTTTGACCAGTCAATCTTGTCACATGGCTTCTGGTCAAAAGCTCTAAAGTGAGAACCATTTTTTGTGTTGGAACAAAAGTTTTAAATTTAAACATGTAACTACCAATCCATGTGAGTATACATGATAGAGTAGGACACTTTAACCTGTAACAGACTAGGGTTGCTAAATATGGGCAACAGATGCAGTGCCATGTTATTTGTTATAATGACTGACAGCAAAAAAAATAAGCTTCTTGTGAACAAAGTACAACATAACATAGTGTACTGGATGAAGAGAGAAGAAACAGTTACTGTACTATGGTATCTGTATCTTTATGCTGATAATTTGTACAGATGTTGTCTGCATAATCCAGTTTTCACTGCTTTGCATTTTCCACATGTGTTTCTGACTAGTTGAATGGTTACAACACCACCATGCCTGCACAGATGCTATTGACTGGGCCATTATATATCCATTGGCAAGAACGAAGACTGTTTCTATTTGATAATGGAAAGCTTCTAAGTTAAAGGTCAGTCCCAACCTGACCACAATTGGATCATAGTGGTTATATTTTCACAGGCCCCAATTTCCTGCATTAGCAGCACTTACAGAGATCAGCTGCAGGCAGAGGCTTTGTACATACACAGCTTAAACTACCACCTGCTCACTTGCATTGCCTCAGTAAGGGTCAGTGACCTGCCCCAAGGTGTATGTTGGTGTCATAAGGCTAAGCCTGGTCATTTCCTATAAGTATAACCACCAAATAAACCAAATAAGTGAGGAACATTAAATTTTGAACATTTAATCAAACTATTTCTTATGACAACTTAAAAAAAGACACCATGCATGGAACATTGTAGGAAAACAAGCCTCTTCAATTGATAGTGTAACCAGCGAGAATTGCAGTGACTTCTGTAACCAACCTTCTTTCCATGCTGTTTACATCAAAGCCAAGCTCTGAAGCTGTTGGTCCTGCAAAGAGACAAAATGAGGGCGGACTTTTAAGTCAATAAATCAACACTCAAATTACGTATAGATTATAAACACATTAAACCTGTATTATGTTTTACATTTTTGTGCAAAGAATTTTTCATGTGATTGTCATTCACTTCCGCTTTTCAACATGGCCAACATGGCCATATTTGTGCCATTTACATTTTTAAAAAAATTCAAAGCAACCTCTAATGTATAATCCTACATCCTTGCTCAGTGTCAATTACTGTTCAATCTCCTTGGAATATGATTTAATTTATTGGTAAAATTTGATACAATCATATGCATTAGTATCTTTCTTGTCTTTCACTAAATTAACTGTCTAGGCCAACCAATATTGCACAAACATGAAATCTCTTTGAAACGTCCTTCTGAGCCTTCTAAAAGAACTTATACATTCACCACACGGTTCTGTTTCATGATTACCATACCGCAGCATGTCATGTGGTTCTGTCACAGAGGGAAGTTCTGCCATCGCACAATTTATATGGAAATAAATCACGTTAGGTTGGATACCATGGCTAAATGACCTCCAGATTGTATATCAGGAGAAATTAAGGGCAGCGTATTCACCGCATGTAAAATCAATGACAAGGGCTGTTGTACATGTAAAAGCTACGGAAGGGGTGGACTCGAGATTTCTTTTTTCACTTAAAAAGTGAGACTGATCGTTTGACTAAGATAAAAATTAAAAGAGGTGGCAAAACATGTAATAACTATGTAATGACAATAGCATGAGTCTCTCATGGGTACATGTATTTTCAGTTGATCCCTCACTTTATCCTTCAAATTCTATGTACAGACAAAAGTCACCATTTATCACTATTTTATGTGATGTGAATGTATGTTTTGTATGGTTGAGAGACTTGGTTGATGAATTTATGAGTTAATGAAATAAATGTCAACTCAATTCTCAATTCTAACAATGTCTCTGCACTATTGAAATATGGTTGATTGATTCATGACTGTTCAGGGCTGGAAATACCACCTGCGGTTTGCTTAGTGCAGGTCAAGGTAATGTATTTCTGATGTCTACCTGCACCTAACCTGCACCAGTCCATGTACTGGAAAAATGTATGTCCCTTGCAGGTCAATCCACAAAAAAAGGCTAGGGTTGCAGTTTTTTCTAGGGCCGGTCAAGAAACAGTAAACACAACATTTTTTTTCCTAGGCCTAACTTTCTGTGTTAACTGCACCAGTGCATGTGTGCAGTAAAAAAGGATTTTGAGCCCTGCAGTGTCATGTTACCAGACCTACCATTACATGTTGCAGCCACCACCTGTAGCTTGTAGCGACTGTCAGGTCGGTTTGCCTCCAACTTGGGTGAGATGTTGACAATGTTTCCCTTGGTGTTGTACAACTTCAGGATGTCGTGGGGCCCAGCCTCTGCCGCGGCACGGAAACACTCTGAACAGGGAAAAAATCAACAAAAGATTATAATTGTATTATGTACAGTAGTGGGCAGAAGTTTGGAAATAAGAAAATTACTTATGATTCACCATTTCTAACACTTTTTAGCCATTTTAGTATCTAATTTGATTATTCTAATACATGTGGTTATTTTGCTACAGACTATGAGAAATGTGGCCTCAAACATATACCGGTAGACCGTCAATACCCATTTGTTACTTTTTTACTGCGCACTACCACATGCATGGACCCCTGTTGCAGAAGAACTGGGGTGTGCACCATTTAAGTCACTCTGTTGTATGTGGTTGTTACTCCGTGAAGGAGGTCAGGACCTCCGGACGGAGTGTTGTAATCGGCTGATTTTTCATGTTCGCAGTCAAAACACTGGGTTCTCTTTGTGTAATCGGCACGCAATTTTATACGCCGTCTGCGGGCATGCCCGTGTTGATGCACGAATGTGTATTTTTGCCGTTGCTGCTTTCGCGGTCAATGTAATATCGCAGACGCACCCCTACAATTACGAGGCGAATTGGAATGGTCCAGAAAAACGCGTTGTTTGGAATAGCAGTGGGGTTCAAAAAAGTTCATGCAGATACGGGGTGGTTTTTATAAGTGGTTCCAGATGTTTTTGCCCATGGTTAAGAGATGCCAAGTTTTTTGGAAGATGTTCGCAGCCAAAACGCATTCTTCCGTACGTCGCATTTCTGTGTAATTTCGCATGTGGTGTTGCATTATGTCCGGGATGATGCACGTCTTTTTATTTTTACCGTAGCTGTTTTGATATTGGAGTAAATGCTTATTTTCGAAACATCCCCATTTCTTTGAAATGGTTTCGTCCGTTTATGCAACTGTTACTGCGCTAATGACGACCAGTCGCGCTGTCCTGATACACCGCGAATGTGCGAGTGTTCCCTGTAGACAGTCCCGGGAGTCATTTTTTCGCACATTCCAGGAGCCAAACCAAAATACGTTCATGAACCGAGTCCAAAAAACCGAAACGTGAAAATCGGATGATCGGACCTGATGTACATTTCTCTTTCTATAGATTGTACACACAATACACACATCTTTAGATAATCTGGCCATGGCAGGTTAAAAAAAAGTAACCCTGAATCATACTAGATTAGCGTAAATGCATGTTAATGCGTTCAAAACAAGAAAAAAATTGTTTCCGGGTATTAATCTCTTGAATCACGGCGCTGAATATTGACGCAAGAATATTTCGGGCATCGCGCGCCCTTCCCGCGTCACGTGTAGGCATCTCGCATCTCTGATTGGTTGTTGCGTCTTAAGATGACTGAGCCGACGCGCGTTTAAACAATTTTTCTTTGTTCGATTTATCACACTTCACAGAGAATTGTCGCCAATGGCTACTTCTTTTTGTTGCAATATATAATACTTCACGGAGAATTGTCACCTATGGCTTCTTGTTATTCTTTCAATATGCCAACAAATGAACAAGCATTATTGTTGTAAGATAAGAGAACAGTACCATTACAGGTGTTATAGATAACACACCATGGTCTAACTTGGCACAACACTTTGTCAACATTTGCTTACAACATTATCCATTTTGTGAGGGCAATATCATATACGTAATAAAACTAATATACATTAATCGAGTACTGCATCAAAACATCAAGCATCATTACAAGAAGGACTAGACCACACTCTACGCTCTATGACAGCACTACAACATTATTTGCATAACCCTTAACACAAGGCTCCATCCTTAGATTCCTGCTATTCACTGTTGATATAAGAGGTGATATTTGTAATTTTTATAGGAATGTGTATCATTTAGAATTTGGTGTTTGAACACATGCAGCCCAGAAAATTTATCAAATTCTGGGCACACCTACAGTATGTATTACTACATGTACATTTATAATGCAATCTGCGCCTGTTGGCAAAACACACCAGGTGGGGGGCTGCATACCAATGAAGATGCTTGTTTTACAGTTTCTCTCGTAAAAGGAGGACACGTCAATTTTACCGACTTGTTTTCACAGTTCAACCCCACTCAACGCTCTTCATTAACGTCAGATGGGCACTCAGGTACTAGTACATGGATGAGGGCCTGCATGCCTTTTTCCGTGAGGAACATTTACATGTAAATTCACTGTTAAATGTAGCCAACAGCTTTTATTAAAAAATTAAGTGCTGTAGGGAAATTCATGAAGAGTAATTGTTCACTTAAATTCCATGTGTCACACTATTTATTATCCTAAATTTACTGTTTAACTGAAATATTTTGCCAGACACACCATGGATACAAAAGAACATTGCGAAGAAGTTGCTCCGATCCTAAAGCCTTCTTCATTATGCAACAAGAACAATTTAATTTACGGTTAGTGTTGACGGCTGCTAAACATCAATTGTCGGTCACTTAAATTTACCATTAAAAAACTTTACCAGGATCCCCCCATGTAGACCCTAAATACTAATGGACTGTGGCCTGTGAAATTCACCATTAAATTTCCTGCATCCCCCCATGTAGGCCCTTAAGTAATGGACTCTGGCCTGTGATGCTTCACAGAGCTAACAGCTCTCAACACCCCACCCCATTATGGCCAACTCACTTGTTGACCGAGTGGCAACCTTTTTGACATTAGGAGCCAGGGGGAACAAAAAAGTGGGCTCCGGGCTGACATCAATTTCACATTAACTGGACTTGGCACAGGCAAATAGACTTTTCAAAAGTAGACGTCCGGGAAGTAGCGGCACACAGTAGCGTTACAATAACCTGGCGGTTATTCTTGTAATAAGTGAATGGCTAACATCAACACAAGCACCTGCATTACCCCTGGTGTACAATTTGTGTTTGCATTTGTCAGTAATAATTAGTGTGTGGCACAATCCCCAGAGGAATGGTACAGTGCACTAGGAAAAATTATCAAGTATTGGAAACAAGAAATGTACCTGTATGGTTATATTCTGTCAATAGCTTTCCTAACATTACATGTAGATACAATTTCATTTTTGGTGCATCTATACAATGTAGCTAACATCTGTGTCCATAATATTACCATGGTCCATAATATCACCACCCTGAGAAACAGTGTGCTTAAAGATATTTTTACTGCAACATACTTTTGGTATGCACTCCTTCACACATCAAATGTACATACCTAGGGTATGTTGCAGTAAAAATATCTTAAAGCACACTATTTCTCAAGGTGGCGATATTGTGGACCCTGGTGATATTATGGACACAGATGTTACAGCTACGGCAGTATATGAGTGAGTCTGAATGCATATATATATTGGGACCGTGTAGAACATCAAAATATGCCTTAAAGAATACATAATTGGTCTTGTAAAATGTAATTGATATATAACAAAAACATGCACATGTACATGTAAGTGTTGAACCAACCTACAAAGTGTATACAACACACAATATGCCCCTTCTATCATTTCAGCATGTACCGTATGACATGTTACATAATTATGCTTAATATGATGCAACATATAATATGCATTCAATTTGATGTGAACCCACAACAGTGAGAACCTCTACATGGTTTTCAAACAAATATATCCGACATAATATACAAAACAGACCATTGTGTGGTAAACAATTTCGGTGTATCATATCTAGATATCCAAAATACCTCAGGGTGGAATAGGTTGCTTTACAGGCTCTTGAGTTTTATAATAGATGATGACAAAACAGCAACTTGACGATCGTTGAAATCACTGGAGATGTCCATGAGCAAGGCTGTTCATCTGTCATTTCTGACAATGGGTAATGAGGCCTACAAAAGAATATAGTCAGTGTTTCCAGTTTCCTGACCGACCCTATAGCAAACACCCACCAACCCTAGCCTTTTTTTTTTTGATCGACCACTGTGTTTTGATCTGACTTCTGAATTTCATATATATTCTAAAACATCAAATAAAAAAATCAATGCTCTAGCTAGCTACTAGTACTGATCATTCAAATAGTCTGTGTGTGCCATATAACCTAAATATCTTTTAATGCTATACCTGCTATGTGATACTGAGTATGAATTGCAGATTGTACCAGTAGACTCTGATCGGGATTCAAATCTCTACTGGTGGAGACTCCAATGAATCAGAGTTTCTGTTGACAAAGACTCCGATCAGGATCTCTACCGGTGGATTCTACCAGATTGGAGACTCTACGGTCTACTCGATTACCCTGGTATAAATGTACACTATAGACTTGGAACTGGAGGATAGGGCTATGAGTGCTGCATACAGGGTACTACATACATTCTTATTGTTAACTGATAGATTCGTAGAATCGTCTTACTTGATGCAATTCATGTGTCTGACAGAAGCGCGTTTAGCACATGTTGGAACTACCCAGAATCAATTCGAGACAGTGAGTAAGAATGTGGCAGATCATGCAATTGCAAGCCCAAACCTCGATCACTTGCGGTAACAGATCTGTTTTTAAATTTTATGGTCGCATAATTAAGAGGGCACTAATGGAAAATTCAGCTCCTTCATCCCTATAATGTCCAGTCCACGATGCCAAATCGGAAGCTTTGAAGCTTCAATTATCTAAGCTTTGAACTGATTCCAAGAAGAAACGGAAGAGATGAAAGGAAGCTACGCCTCCAGCCACTTGGTAGTCTGTTTAGTCGGATAATCAAACACTGACCTGGCCTTTATCCTTCCTACCTGCTAAAGTGGCTCCAAATTTGTATTGGTTATGCCACATGGGGTTAGGCAGTGGGGAGAAGGTTATACAACTTGCCCTGATGTAGATGGACTGTTCTAAACAGAGACTTAATTAGCTGGCCATTACAATAATGAAAATCATGGATGAACTGTACGGTTATTAAAAAGAAGATGAATGTATTAGCTTACAGGGTTTTATTCCCTTTTTATGTCAGTATTAGAAGAGTATAATCATGTAACATTTTTCTTGACCAGAGAGGATTGAAGCCTCAGGCTGCTTTTTTTTAGCTTCAGAGTGGATGTTTAGAATGGACTGTATTGCTGCTGAACCTACAAGACTT